TTATATAGTTCAATAATCTCAAATAAAGTGGATGTTTACAAGAAATATTTTTAATAGCCTGAAGGCAAGAAAGAGAGTCTGAAAAAATGATATATTGTTTACATTTAGGGTGTCTATTAATATATTTAAGAGCTGTTAGTATTGCATTAGCTTCAGCTGTGAATATTTAGCTGTCATTAGGTAATCTGGAGGATAGTGTTCTGGATCCAATGACAGTGGCACAAGCAACTGCGCCACCATCCTTGGACCCATCTGTAAATAATGGCATTCTTAACGAATGATTCCAATCGAACTAAATGGTCAATGGTACTGCGATTTTTACGAAAACCAAATTGAATATCTGTGATTAAATTATTCGATTCTAAGTACCATGTTAATCTGTTATTTACCATGCGTTCCATGGGTTTGCAAACGCAGCTAGTCAAAGAAATTGGTCTATAATTAGATGGATCAGTGAGATCATGTCCAGGTTTGGGTATGGGTACAACAATGACATCACGCTAGGATGAAGGAAATTTACCAGATGTCCAAATTCCATCAAAGATATTTAAAAGTGTCTCTAAATATGCTTCCGGTAAATGCTTCAGGAGTTGATAATGTATGCCATCAGCTCCTGTAGCAGAATTGTGAGCTTGTTCAAGAGCATTAAGAAGTTCATGAATAGACAAGATTTCGTTATAGTCTTCTCCGTTATCCGAATGAAAGTTTATATGCTTCTTTTCCTGTTGTTTTTGGTATTTTTGAAATTTAGGAACATAGTTAGCTGAGGAAGAATGTTTTGAAAGTGTTTCACCCAGTTTATTTGCGACATAAGATTTATCAGTTAACAATTGATCCCCAGTTTTGAGATGGTGTATACTTGATTTGGTACCCTTACCTTTAATTTTCTGGATCATGTTCCATACTTTGACATTGGCGTTCTTGTATTTATCCTTGAAACATAATTTTGCCAAGACTGGCGTTTATTTTCTTTAAAGGTACGCCGGGCTTTAGCATTTAGAATTTTATATCTATTTAGGTTATGGACCATTGGATAGCGACGGAAATAATGTTCGGCCTTCTTCCGTGCCTTCCTAGCTTGTTTGCAGTCAGCTGGTTTACGTACGTGAGGATTCGGAGAGGACTTCGGAATACAATGATCATTGTATTGAGGTAAACATTCTATACAGTGTTGATATTTACAATGAACCAGTATGTTACTTTACTTCTGTGGCATAATATTTGGATGCGAATGTGGAATCGTGTAATATTTTCTTTGAAACTATACAGACGTACTATTTGCATGAATCTCTTCATGTTATGTGTAGAATTGTGATGATTTCTCTTCTGTGTGCTAAATTCCGGTCATCAAATTGGAGAAAAGATGCGTATATCATGTGAAAAGAACACATCTTTTGGAATCCAGTGAATAGCAATTACTTCTCCCATAGTTATTTTTTGTATCTCTGGGGTCTTTTATATTCAAGAACGGACACATTACCCTGTTGTTTACGTAGATAGCAGAAATACCATTTTGATTAGAACTTGAACAATTGTATATGTTTACAAATAAATTGAAGTTGATATAATGTTTGCCAGACCCCTTTTTGTTTTTACGATCAACTGAAAAACCTCCTCAAACAGTCGGTCTGTAAATACTCCAGCCAGACAAATTCCACACCTGGTGCTTTGTGATTGGTAAAAAAACAATCCAACATAAGTTTCTTTCGAAAGCGGAAGTCACAAACATTGTGTATGTGTGATCAAAAGAACACAGATGTCGTACCCAAAAGCAACGCTGGCAGAGTCTCACGTTTCTCGTCCAACGTATACAATGAAGTCGGTGTTGACGGGTTCAGCACGTGCCCCAAAAAGGTGAATAGGCCAGGATGCAGACAGCACGCAGTTGTCTCATCACTATGTGTTGATGCTGATGACGTCCCTAATCAACACACGCCGCACGTTGAAAACGCAATGATATACCGGTGACTTCTCGTATACCTGGTGAAAGGTCAGTACAGTAAAAATGACACGAGAAGTAAACGGTCCTCATCCGGTTAATCAATATTCAAAGCATATTTATATCATAAAAGACAATTAAATTGAAACACATTGCATTAATGCTTTATTGAACAAACAAATACGGTTGTAACATGGTCAAATATCCTTAATTCCGCCATGCAAAGCGAGAATCTGGATGATATTCTTTCCTTAATGTACAATACAATGACAAACACTAACATAGCAAGCAGTTATCATTGTTTGTTACACATGACAAGTAAATGTCAATATCTTTAACACTGGTAGTCATACAAGTTACACTATCCTCCACGCCTGCCACCAAACAAAGACTATCATAACACGAGATCAGCAATGTCTGTAACTTGCTTGTCATAATCTGCTGTGTCCTTCACAGCGAAGAATAAAATGTCACAAGATCAACAATGTCTGTTACCTGTTCTTCATACAAGACATGATATATTTCAACACTGCCACAGAACAACGACTAAAACTATCACATCAATATTAAATGGATGTCTCTAAACTTGTCATCATAAACTGGACCCTTATTCTCGAAACGTTCGTAGCACTAAGAATTCGTAACTTAGATCGTAGGCAATGTGTTAAGAATGGGCTTAATAAGTTCGAAGGGCAAAGAACGTTTCGAGAATAGCTAGCCTGCATGATATTCTGTACTCCTTGCGCAAACTATCGACCAAGACGAAAATTACAGGAGTCACTTTAAGGGACATACTCACATACAAGACACTGTACCAAAAAACTTCCTACAACGAAGACTATTATAAGAAACAAGGCTATGATGGGAACACCATTGTCTAACACTTGCTAAGCATAAACTGCACGATTGCCCTCACTCCTGGCACAGAACAGCTAAACTAGAAAGTGAGTGAGTTAACATTTTACATCGCATCAGCAATATTACAGACATATAGACATATAGACAAGGTAATCAATGTAAAATCTCTGTCGACAAAGGACTGTTATACCAACTAGACTATCACAGATATATATATTTGAAACTAAATCTTTGAAGGGCATTTAGAAGTGGAATACATAGGAAAAGCAAGATGTTATGGATGTCAACTTCTTTATCGTGAATAACACGACGTTTCGGAGTGTATACTTGCTCCTTCATCAGGTGAATGATGGGGGAGTATAAGGGGGATATATATATATACACGTACATGGCCACTTACAAAGAAAACATGTATAACAAGTTTAACAATGTTGAGAAAAGAATATGTAATAACAACAAGAGGCTAGTGATACACTAAAACAACATGGTAATAGATTGATGAGATCTAATACGAACACGAGGAGGCCAGTGATACGTTAAAACAACATGGTAGTTGATAGGGTGTAGAACAACACAGGGAAGCCAGCAATGATACCGTACAAACACGAGGGGTGGGGGGAGGGGGGGTTGCAGCAGCAGCGAACACCAAGGGACAAACAGTTGACTTATCACTCAGTGATTCTACACATGTTAGTCCAAATCGATATGAGGAAGTAGTCATATTCCGTCAACTTTAGATACTGGTTTTAACAATTTACATAAAATTCCTGAATATTTTAAATATTACTCTGTTCCTTTGGCAGTTGCATCCTGTGACCTAACATGATATTGAATTTGGTAAATTTAAAACGACTTTTAAATATAATATAATAATTGTAAAACTGTGGAGAGTTTTACGAGTGGGCTAACGTATGTGATAGAAAAGCCAACAACGTAAAATGTTTGTCAGCGTGATATGAACATGCATGGGAATTTACATTAATTAGCGCCCTTAAGTGATGTCATCGAACGTCAACATACAGGTAGAAGAGTTGTGGTGAAAACGATGTCTAAAGATGCGCGGCAAGTCATGAAAAGAGTTTATGACTTTTCAAGCTCTAGGCAAAGCGAAAAACCCCTCCATTTCAATTTATTGTTTCACCAAAAGAACAATTAATGCCACCATAAGCTGAAAAAGAACTTTGCAAAGAGTTATCTGCCCTGACACTATTTCAGACCCTATTGATGGCTTTGCAGTTTAATCCGGGGCCGTCTCAAAACTTGAAAGAAACGAAAGCTTGATGAATTCGATGAAGAGTTGTGATGACGTCATACGTCGATTACATCGATCAAATGAGTCCATATCGTCAAGCAAATTGACGAAAATATTGAAAGAAGACCATCACATCAATGTATCAAAATATATCACATGTAAGCGGTTGCTCAAATTTGGAAATAGATACAACAGATTGAGCAACCAGTAACTGACTATGTGAAAGGGCAGATATCACTTCTATGAGAGACCATTATCTGAGAAGAATATGGGACAAGAGACAAGAGGGACGAGAGATCGTGAGGTTAGATGAGAGTGAGTGAGTTAAGATTTTAAGTCACATTGGCAATATTTCAGCCATATCGTGACTATTAACAAGTTATAATGTGATAATAAATCATTATAAAAAACCTGTCGGCAAGGACAGTAAAAATAATTAGATTATTACATACATAGTTGTGAAACTAGTATGGAAATTTAAAATATCTTAACTATGAAAGACAATAAAAAAGTTGCTATAGATCGCCAACAACTGAAGGTAGATCACCATACTAGGGAGAGTATGTGACAGAGCAACTTATCCCAGCACTACCCGCTAAATCTGTCGTTGTCATGGATAATGCTCGTTACCATAGCTGCAGAGAACCAAACAACAGATGCCCCACCTCTACGTCAAGGAAGGTAGATATGGTGCAATGTTTGGACAGATTGGCATTGAATATCCTCCAAAGACAACAAAGGTAATGCTGTATAAAATCATCAAGTGTATTAAAGTTCAACTTGGTTCACACATGTCATCGTATCCCAATTGCGTAGATCGATGCTCATCACTGGATCGTTTAGCCCAGACCGCCGTCATATAGCTGGAATATTGCTGAGTGTGGCGTAAAACTGAACTCACTCACTCACTCCTCCACATCGGGATGCGTGACATAAACCCACAAGCTGCACTTATTTCTCTGGAGAGCCCCGCAAGACAAGAAAGGTGTTCAAGCGAACGAACCCGCAATCATTTGCTAACATGGCTGCTGTTTTCCCATCCTTGTCCCTGGCTTTAATGTCGGTCAGGTTCTTTGAGAGGATGTACTTCACCATCTCCATACTTCCACCTGTAGTGGCTATATGAAGGATGTTGCGACCCTTATTATCAACTAAGTGAGTTAGAGCACCTTTGTTCACAAGTAGAGCCAAAATCTTTAGTTTTCCACCCCTCGCGGCGTCCATCAGTGTTGTCCTTCTGAATATTCCTCCTCTAATGTTAATGTCAACCATGTCTTGTGATATGATACGCTGAATCATGTCCGCAGATCCCCCACGAAAAGCATAATGAAGTAAGCTGTTTCCGAAAATATCCACGCATGATGAATTAGCTCCCACACTCATGAGGAAATCAAAAACATCCCTTTGCGCCATCGATGCAGCCCACATGAGGGGGGTTATTCCGTGAGCTCCCCTGCTGTTAATATCAACCGTGCATTGTAAAACCAGATACTTCACCGTATCCAATTGTCCGCCCTTGCTCGCACAGTGCAGGGGATAGTTGCGGTCAGGACCAACTTGTGACACATTAGCTCCCATACACACGAGGAACTCCACAACGTCTCTTGGTCCCCGATATGCAGCCTCATTCAGGAGGGACAAATTCATATCAAAACCGTAGTGTCGAACTAAACACTTTATTATACCCTCATGCCCACCCTTGCATGCCCAGTGAAGGGTGTTCTCACAATCATTATCGACTTGTGACATGTTAGCTCCTTTTTGAATTAGAAACGAAACAACACTGCAATGTCCCGCTTGTGCCGCCATCATGAGCGGTGTCCTTCCGTGCTGCTCGTCTCTGCTGTTGACGTCGACCAAACCCTGGGACAGGAGGCGTCTCGCTCGGACTAAGTCGCCCTTCCAGCAGGCATAGTGAAATGAGCTGCCCACAATTCTTTCCTGCTTGGCAGCTTCAGGATGTGGAGATTTCTCAGGATAGTTCTGCCTTTCATCTGTGGATATATATATAAGTGAGTGAGTTAATATTTAACGTCACATCGGCAATATTTCAGCCATATCGTGACGAAAACAATCTAAGGTATAGCAATATAAAAACAATAAATTGAGAAAATATAAACATGTCATCGAAGGACAGAAAAACTACTAAAATATCACAGCTCTTAGTTTTAAACTTGTACGCTATCATAAAAATATATCACTATAGACAACAATACAATATAAAAACTGGCTATAGATCGCCAAGAACCGAAGGCAGACCACCACACCAGGGACATATATATATGATAGTGAGTGAGTTAAGTTTTACGCCGCACTCAGCAATATTCCAGCTATATGGCGGCGGTCTGTAAATAATCAAGTCTGGACCAGACAATCCAGTGATTAACAGCATGAACATCGATCTACGCAATTGGGAACCGATGACATGTGTCAACCAAGTCAGCCAACCCGACCGCCCGATCCCGTTAGTCGCCTCTTACGACAAGCATGGGTTACTAAAGATTCATTCTAATCCGGACCTTCACGGGTCACCTATATATGATAACGATACAATGACGTTAATTTGTTAGCATCATTTTTGCAGCAAATATCTAACAGAATATAATGTTTGTTAGAGAATAAGTTAATATTTAATACCACATCGGTAATACTATAGCCATATCGTGACGAGAAAAAATATTTCAGGTATTAAACATAAATTAAATTAAACATCTGTTAAAATCAAGCAACAAAACAACTAGCGTATCACAGATATCAAAGTAAATCTAGCATGGTATCATAAATGAGTATCATTAAGGACAATGCAATATAAAGATGGCTTTAAATCCCCAGCACCTGAAGGGAGACCATCATCCTGGGGACCATGGTTATTTACAGTGCCTTTGCAACCTGCATGGACTCAAACTTGATTTAAACCACTCCTTCAGCCGCTGGCGAGTTTACTCCATTTAGCCAAAGATTAAAAGATCACATATTTTGAGATAAAATACATGTAGTATGAACAATATCTTAAATGAAATGTGAGTTACATACCCTCTCTGGGGACACTAATTTTAACCTACCTCAATACTGAAGATATTGCCACAAAGTTATTTATTCATCCTTACAAATTAAAATGCATTTATCTAATGCATGTTTTTACCGTGACAAGAAATACTAAATTCGTCCATAAAAAGAGATCCATCAATCCAATTATTTTAAACCTTTGATAACCTGTTGCTCTTAATGTTAAACAATGTAACAGACAAAATACTTCCTTGTTGGACAGCCTTATCCTGATTGTAATGATCAGACAAGGTACAACCAACTCGAACTTGAAATTTTCTGGCTTCTAAAAACTGAGATATAAATTGTGGTAGACGGCCCCTCAAACAAAAATCATGGATACCTTTCAAAATGCCATACTTCCATGACGTATCGTATGCCTTTTAAAAACCCAACAGCATGCTGTTTATTTATCATGGATTCTAAACGTACTAAATGATAGATGGTACTTTTTCGGAAAACACATTGAATGTCAGTGACGCGGTTGTTGGTTTCCAGATAGCAAACAAAACGCTTATTAAAGGTCTCATGCAACGCAAAACACAAGTTTGCAGATTCTGATACCATTCGATATGGACTTACAGTAACAAATTATCAACAATGCAAATTCAACTTAGAAAGCTGAAAAATAAGGCGATGAAACAAACCCCGTGACATTCGAGTTCAAACGATTCACTAATTTCACCTCTGCGCTGGGGTGAAAAGTGGTTTCAACAGCTGTGCTGCGCTGCGCCCATAGCGCATGCGCAGTGATTAGCTTCGCGCGGCTTGAACCGGGAAGGTGACTCGTAAAAACACAGCAAAAGATGTTTCTTGTGATTACAAGCATCTTGGGTCTGCAGTAACAAAACTACACTGGTCCTTTACTTGGTTGTAGATTGGCAAACCAAGTTTTTGAAGAAAGTGTAGCATTAGAAATACTAATTTCATTGTTAAAAATAGCTCAGCTTGAAAACTGAAATGTGTTAATACGTGTCTATGGAAACATAGAAAAATATGTTGATTGTGATAAGCAGTGTCTGTCACACACAAAACTCATTGTCTGTTTTATTGACACCTGTCTGCCAAACTTCAATCATTGACCACATGCAATTTGAACTTAACACCTATCAGGTTATACACCATGAACAAAATATATTGATTTATGGCCCGTGCACCTGAGTTCTGTCTCTGTCACATTATGAAATTACACAGACTGACAGGTGTGATACTTGTACACATGACATGTTATTATGTCTGTGGGTTGCAAACGAACTGCATCCATTTTTCACGGATGACTGGATCGGACGGAAACCGGTGCTAACTCAGATGGTCAGTTTCAAGTCCTGCTTTATACTTGGACGAACGACAGTTTCCAGCCACGCAGTAGTTCACCATCTCAGTATTTGTTGATTGGATTGAACGCATATGCAGAGGGCATGTATTTACAAAACCTAAGATCTATATATACATTCTTTATGGATAACAACTTCTTTCATTGTATATGATTCGACGTTTCAGTATGGATTCTTATACCGTTGTCACTCTCGTTTGACAACGGTATAAGAATCCATACCGAAACGTCGATCATATACAATAAAAGAAGTTGTTATCGATGAAAAATCTTACTTTCTTATTACTCACCATGCTTCTAAAATGCCAATCAAACAGATCATCACTATATGCATACACAATGAGCCCTCAGAGTATCGGCAAATGAACCAGCCAATGAAAGACTTCGTTACACTTGAGTGCACACCCACCAGCTCTGACTGGGTTCGGTCTCAAGGGTGCTTCGTTTCGAGGTAAGTAAACCCAAGTACAAAATATTGCACTTTTGAATCGCGATTGTACGCTTATAATTTTGTTTATTTGTTTTTACACAATCAACAATGTATATTTTATGTTATGAATAAGTGATAATTGTGTTTTAATTATGTTTTTTTGTTGTTGTTGCATGTGATCACAGGGGCGTGTCACGCTTCGAAACAGCGTTAGAAAGACATATAGGTATATAGACCCAACCCTAGTACTATATAAAAGGAAAGGGATGTAACGACGGAACCACCCCCTCCTCAATCAAAGTTAGATTTCACCACGTAAACTATTTTTAAGGCCCGTCGAGGCCTACGGATCTAAAGCGAGATGATTTCACTACAAAATGAGCTATAAATGGTCACAATCGGATCATTCTTGCAAAAGTTATACGCCACGGCTCACCGAAAACAGCTACCTCCGCAATTCCAAGCCAAAATCATGGATCACCCAACACAGCGAAAACTCACCTTTTAAATTCGTTTATTAATTCCAGCCACGTTGACAGCACCTATGTAGGGCTAGATACGATCGGCAGCGGCATTCCACGGGACTAAAAACTTATTGCAACATCTATAAATCATTTTCTCGACAGTAAGCAGGCATTTTCTCCAGAAACCATCGGCAATCTTACTCACTTGTCGGCTATGGATGGCCTTGACATTCAAGTGATTTGAGCAGATCCGCAGAAACAGAATTGGGCCATCCGATTGGTGGAAAATAAAACATACTGTAAGATTTTGCCTGTTTGCTAATGGCCGCGAAATATTAACTTTGCAATATTCCTTCTATTTTGGCTGATGTGCGGAACAGTAAATTGTTAAGAATAGTTTTAGAGGTTGTAAAAATGTATTCGATATTGATTCATTATAGGAAATTATATTTATAAATATTTAACCTCTAAAATTGTTCTTACCAATTTACTGCTCAGGTCACCTGGCTGTCAACGTGGCTGGAATTAATAAACGAATTTAAAAGGTCAGTTTTCGATCCGTAGGTCTCGACGGGGCCTTAAAAATAGTTTACGTGATGAAATCTAACTTTGATTGAGGAGGGGGTGGTTCCGTCGTTACATCCCTTTCCTTTTATATAGTACTACAGTCCGTTTGAGTCAGAAACGGACCGATGAATTGCAAATTTTATCATTGTACAAAATTGCCACATAAATATAAATAGTACACATGTTTATCATCTACAAATACCCAATAGCTTTCTTATATTTGAAAATGTTCCGTCTCCACCAAAAAAAAGTTCTTTAAGAAACTATCATTAAAATTTTGACACAGTTCACTATTTGTTACGAGGGAGGAGTGCAGAGAAAGGGACAGCCAGGTGTGCGAGAAAGGATGGAGAAGGCACAGCACAGGCTAATGAATCAATAACTTGGTGGGCACTTGTGCACATGCTTCTCTAACACCTGGCTGCCCCTTTCTCTGCACTCCTCCCTCGTAACAAATAGTGAACTGTGTCAAAATTTTAATGATAGTTTCTTAAAGAACCTTTTTCAACCCGTCGAGCTTTTCGATTAGTGGAGGCGACATGGGCTCGGTATTTGTTGCCAGAGAACAAGAAGACTGGTAATCATCCGAGGAAATCTGAATGCCCAGCGATACAGGGATGAAGTGTTGAGACCTTTTGTGGTGCCCTTTATTCGACAACAGCCTGGAAGAGTCATTTTACAGCACCACAACAAAAGGCTTCACATCGCCAGAATTGTTGGCATTCTCAAGACATCAACCCAACATCTTTGGGATCATCGGGATCGTCAGCTGAGACAGTGTGTACCACCTCCAGTTATCCGACTCTCCTGGACTTATGGAACAGGATTCCTGCTGACGTCATCCGCCGATTGATTCTTTATGCAATGTTTGGATGAACTTTGAATTGTGTAATGTTTAACTTCGGCTTTT